CGACCAAGCGCAAGCACTCAGCCAAACAGGGTTCGTCCCACAGAAGTGGGCAGACATCATTGATGTTCAGTACCCTTGCAGCACTGAAGCACCGGAACCCAACTGGAGACACTTTTTTAATGAGCCTCGACGCCAGTTCACACACTATATTGGATGTAGAGTGTAAGGGATAACCACATAGAGTCGGCGTCTATAGTCCAGGATGTATACGACTGCCTCCCCAAACAGAACGTCCAGGGCCGCCTTCAATCATCCCAGAAAGCTAAATCCCTTTCAATGTATTTGCTACTACATTATCGGAATTTACCTAAGCTCAATGGACCGGATACGGACCTAGAGACGTTCAGTCGTAATCCCCGAGAGTGGTCAACCACATCCACAGCATTGCAACCATGAACACGTGCCATAATTCTGGACCATGCTAGGCACGGTATCCTAAGCGCCCGGAACGGAATTTAGCCGCAGCGATATATCCACCGCCACGTTGTCTAGCGGGACCACGAAGAGGTAGCCGTCGCCACAACCCCAAAAGGCTCCATTTATGCGCGTCACCCAATTAGATGACGAGACATTTGGCTACCTTAACACAGTCATAGTTTATGGTGTACACAAAAATAAGAAAAGTTTCACAGTTCATTATTTGTTTGTTTTTTCAAGTTCAAAGTGTACGATTACAAAATCAGTAGATAAACAACATAGGGGTTAAACAGAGACAGATGTATTGTAGACACATATATGACATTTTAACTGATTAATTAGTTATTATTATTATTACTACTATTATTTTAACTAAATAAATATGATTGTTGGTCATTTTTCATTAAAATAGTAACTTTAACTAACCAACCATCATGTGTTTCTTCTCTTCTGAAATAAAGGACATAGCCAATGTTTATTAATAAGAAGAAAGAAAATTCTTTTTTGATTTATATTTCTATTAATAAATGATTTTTTTTATTGATTTCAAAAATAAAATTAATTATTTGGCTTTGAATAAGAACGTTTTTTGAATCAGTCGCCTACGATTATTATTATTATTATTATTAGATCTGTATAATTGACACTTATATCACATGTCATGATTTGAAAACACGTTTCTTGTATTTGAAAAAAAAAACATTCACAAGAGTAGTGTTCATTGAATGCGTAACTTTTTCTATCAATAATCACGTAGTACATTGAATGTAAATGTTTGTAATAGATTTCTGTGTATTTCTTGAAATGAATATTGTAAACTCTAGTTGTTATACTTGTCAATTGATAGGCTTGAATGCTATTATGAGTTCACCTGACTTGGTAAATGAGAGCAAACAGAAATGATCCAGTGACACGATAGGGTACTCTAATCCAAACGTCCCAAAGCCCTGCCTACGGTATCAAAAAGTTTTGATATGGTATAGAAAGTGTATTCTGCAAGCATCCAGAAAATCGAGGTTCTCAAGTACACAAATCGAGTTTATTTATACATGATAGAAACGACCTTGGGATAGCCACAAAACTAGCGTACTAAAGAAGTACATCAACCAATGACAGTTAAAGATTTTCCGAGTGGGAAACGTAATCTCAAGGTCAGCCGATCAGCTCATGAATAAAATCCGAAATGAGGACCTTTATCAAGTGATTTCTGGGGATCTAACGTCCTCAACACTAGTGTAATTGTGTACATTACAAATGTCCACTGTAAACTTGAAAGTGTACTATGCTTGTGTGTTGAGTTTTTTCTATTCAGCAAAAGAATGACTGAGCCATATTAAACGTATTTACCAAAAGTTAGTTGTAGTTGATTCCAGTCACAGAATTAATTTGACTGTAATAAATAAATTTTGAACATTGAACTCTCGGAAGCATGAAAGTAACCATGTACAAACTTTATTTCCGTTCATATTTAAACAATGAAACACAAACTATCATGTGGGAATATAATTAAAAATTACGAATCTACAGTTAGTCTGATCCCAATAAAAACAATAAAAGATTTTGAATTTTTGAGCGATGTGGCATTTTTTTAGAAACTTTTGAAAAGGATACTTTAAATTAGTAATAAGTATGATATTTGACTAATCAGAATGGATTATCTCCATGATGGTTCTATTCTAAGCTTTAAAACGTGAACTAATGCAAAAGTAATTAATTTTTATCATTTTTCTGCTTACTAATGATTTTTCGTCATAATTATAGCTAACATATACAAAGGTGAACAGTTGTTTAATGTAAAATACTTCTTCAAACTGGCTAATAAAGACCATTCTGAGAGTTCTTGTTTAGATTGTCAAATGATATGGAGATCGCGAATAGACTCCAGTTAAACAGTAATTGAAAGCTAAGTAACAGTGGACAGTTATTTCATCCTGGTATGAGACCCATCGCTAGCAATGTACATCACGACCTTCACATTTCACAGAGACTGCCAAATCTATCGACCATCGATTACTTTGATCATTTTCACAATTTATTTTATGAAAAATTTCAAATTTGACTAGCTAAACTATTTAGTTTCCCTAATTTCAATTAAAGAGAATTTTACAGTGACAACTTTACAAATTTTGATAATAATTTTTTATCAATCACACATCTTATGTCTAACCAGCTAATCAGTAGTTGTATCTTTTGAAATCTAACAAGTTCAGAAGATTTTGAAAGAGGAATTTCATGAATAAATTACCAGCGGATCTACCGAATTCTAGGATTATTTATGTAGGTATTTGTGACAGTATCACCCTTACTGCCTCACAAGACAAGCCCTCACATGGAATCCTCAGGGAAAAAGGAAAACAGAAAAGCCAAGAAACACATTACGCCGAGAAACGGAGACAGATATGAGAAGAATGAACAAAAATTGAACAGAACTGGGAAAGGTAGCCCCAGAACAGAGTAGGCTGGAGAATGATTAGTTTTACCCTACTGATGAGTATTCAGTGAAGTACAATCTGGCCGTTGCTATGGTAATCTTGTTTAGTACGAGAGGAATCGCAGGTTCAGATAATTGGTATATGTGCCTGGTCGAAAGGCCAATGGTGCGAAGCTACCATCTTAGGGATTAAGACTGAACGCCTCTATGTCTGAGTCCCGTCCAAATTTGCAACGGTACATTCGGTATCCAACACGTGGCTCGGCTAGTTTACGTTTTCTTTTTGGTGTCTAGACTGGACTATGTGTTAGGTCTGGTGTTATGCCAAAGCGATGACCATAAACCGTGCTCCGGATTTTGAGGTACGGAGGGTTCGACACGATATCTAATTGTGGTATGAGCGTGAGGATACTAACTTTGTATTAATTCATTTAAAATGAAAAAAAAAGTTATTATATTCTCAATTATTCAAAATTTTACAAATTAATTCAAAGTTAAGAATATTATCAATCATTGAATATTGACTTCAATTGTTGTTTTTAATACTAAAATGTCTCTAATACTGACACGAAACTTAGCAGCTATTCAATACTTTTTGAAGTTTGACTAATTTAAAGTCAACCCACAACGATAAAATAAAATAAAAATAAAATAAAATAAATCAAAACATACCGTCATTAAAAATATCACAAATATTTCATCATTTTCAACTAAAGAAAAAGAGAACAAAACATGAATTACTATGAATAGTAAGTTGATTGTAACACAATGATTTCAATGTTTTTTTTGAATAAACAAATGACATGAACGATTAATAGTTGTTCAGTTTTTTTTCACAAAAGTTTGATAGTTTCATTAAGAAAAATTAAAACTAGTTCAAACCTTGAAGTAGTGTGGCAGGTCATTTCGCCTCAGTGTAGGACTTCTCAGTGGAGAATTAAATTCAAGGACCCAGTAGAGTGTCACAAAGTATCATAGATTTGTAATATTGAAAGCTCTATATGAGTTGAGAGAGATAGTTTAACGAGAAAGGTAAATTGCACTGTACCATAGCTACTCCTCGCTCGTTAGTTTTCTGTAACACTTACAAATTAAACTTATCTTCATGATAATCTCAGTGCCAAAATGTCGGGGAACTTAGATCCCCACAACTCACTTATTAAAGGTCTTAATATTGGATTTTTCTCATGGGCTGACTAGTCGATCTTGAGATTACATTTCCCACTTGAAAAATCCTTAGCTATGATTGGTTGATGTGTTATTTTAGTACGTCACTTTTGTGGCTCTTACAAAGACGCCTCTATGATGTATATATAAACTCAAATTGTGTGATTGTTTTTGGATATTCATCCAATATCTTAAGAGAATTACTGGTCAATTCCTATTGGTTAATTCCTACTGGTCAATTTTATGGTCTTCCTAGATATCAATGTCACTTCAAATGTTGTTTCCTATTGGTCATCTTAACTGTCAATGTCACAGACTTCGATGCTGTTTCCTATTCGACCAAAAATAAACATTACCTGTAGCGTTTTATGACCGGAACCCGGTCCCAGATCCCTAGTCCGGGATCCTGATTTTCTTATGGACTCGGACCTCATACTCTCTTGATGCTTGTAGAATACAGGTTCTACTTCATACCAAGTTTTCGTATTTTTACTCAATATGGGGGTTGGGATAATCGGATTTGGGTATCATGTCGTGTCGCCGGATCCTCGAGCCTCGTTCTCGTTTTCCGACTAGGTAAACTCCTTATAGTTCAAGCATATCAAAATGACGTGTTTACGTGCAGGCGTAACAGATTGGCAACCTCATATTTTCTGGGTGCTTTCAGAATACACTTTCTACGATAAATCGAGAATTCTTTTTTAGTTAGACGGGGACAGCGGACAAAAGTGGCCTATCGTGTCCCTGGTTCATTGTCTCGTTCTCATTTATCGACTAAGGTGAACTCGTAATAGCATTTAAGCATATCACTCTCACGAACATAACACAAAATGTAGTTCGAGTCGTCTGAAATGCGATCGACTGAAAGTAAGATACAGATTTTATTTTCCCTAGACTTTCATCGATGAACCGAACTGAAACTTTTCGGATTCACTTATTAAAAAATAAATAAAAACTTCTTCAGTGTAAGTTATGCAAAATATGATTACAATGTTTACATAACTTTACCTCAGATTGTTTATAATCATACTGAGCTTTAAGTAAACTTTGAATTCGATACAGACGACGATTTAAATCATAATTAGTTAAATCATTCAATTTATTACGATTGTATAAAACTTTGAAACACTGAAAATGCAGAAAAATCAAAACATAATAATAATTATGAATAAATATCAATATAAAAATGATATTTAAATTGTGAAGTTGTTGAATAGGAGGAACAAAACGGAATTAGACCATGTATAGTGTGTTTATTTTCATCCAATCAGAACTGTTATCAAAGTGGCAGAGCAAACCATCCACACACATATCAACTGCTGAAAATTATAAAGTCTCCGCTTATTTTTTTTGTGAGCAGAACAAAGATATAAGTTATTCTTGTATTTTGAATTGCACAAGTCTGTAGTGTGTGTACTTTGATGTTGAGCCTACAGTATTTGTCCCAACCTTTGGAAAAATTATATAGTTCACTATTCTCAAGTTATTATTATTCACTCGTCTTTTGACCTTGTCAATCATTCGACCATATCTTGGTTGTTTCTGCTAAAGTGTGTGTGTGCATGCTTACTTCGCTCACCACATGTCTAGCTTATTTTCTCTGACTATAAGCACTTAGTCATGTTTCATCGCATTGAGCTGGCTCGCTCGTCTTCTCTGCACGAAGGACTGCCTGAAATCAATTCATTCAACCGAATCTATATTTAGCTCCTTGTTACCGCCATCACATAAACTGTACTAACCTAAGTATGTATGAAATTCGGAGACTGAAGGGGAGATTGATTTCATAGCACAATTAATTGTTCATGAATATCGGAGTTAGATCACAGGCCACTAAAGTGATGAGCCTTCTATTGGGTACAGAACAGCCACTGAAGAGTACACTTGTAATGTTCCTTTTATATGTAACAATTGTTATATTCAGATGTCGACTTAAGTAAACAGGAACTCAACAAGTCAGTTTATGGATTATTGTTGTATACAGTCTAAATGTATAGTGACTAAGTAATTAGATTGTTATTCAAATATATTTATATATTCCCCATATCCTGAGCTTGTGAATAACTCTCAAATTATAGTTTTATGATTCATTATTCATAATCTGCCTTACTGACAGCCAATTTCGACTCACTCATCGAACTCAACTCAGCCAATAAAGGTCACTTTTCCAGTTACACAAGTGTTAGAAGTTACCTATGCTGGCAGCAGTAAGTCATTGCTAATGGTATTAGGTAATCATTCGGGTATCTTGTGAATCAATCGAGACTGAAAATTAGGAGTATAAGGCATTGTCTTTTAATTCAGTAGTCTAAAGAAAGCACACTCAGTCCCATTACAGCTGATGAACTTCATTTTATGAAAAATTACCTCTCTATTTCTTCACATGTTTTCAATGGTATTGTTGACTAAAGTTAGTCGATACTAACAACCACCTACACATATGATCAACCTCCATAAGTTTATCAACCAAACTAATATTTGATTTTCAAGAAGTCAACAGGGCAGAATTAAACAAAATAACATGAATTTACTTTATTTCATGAAGGTTCGTATGAACTGCTTACAGCCTATACTCCTTTCTCAGTTAAACAAACTACTTTTAGCAATATGAATTTAACTGTTCAATTTATTCTTAACATCCATCAGTCTATTACACTTCGACAGGTTTGATTTAGGTAATAATGTGGTTGAAGTAAAGCAGGATACTTCTCTATTACATAATATTCTACAGACAATGATGAAGTTGTGTTCACATTCAATTTTCTTATGAGAATTTAATAAATGTGTCATGTGTATCCTTTGATATCCGAAGTGATGGAAGAGATTTTTAGACTAGATTTGTCACTATCGGTGTTTTTTAGACTAGATGATTTAATTGCCGAGCTTTCATTGTTATTCTGTACAGTATGATCATCTACTTTCTTGAGGATGGATGTAAATGTGACCTGAGGAAATATTTATCACACTTTTCGTTGGCTACTTGAAATGTATTAAAGTAGTTTATTAAAATACAGAAAATTATTAATATTCAATTTTACTTACAATGTATATAGCTATACAAATGCCAACAATCCAACCAGCTAAAATATCTTCTAACCAATTATTTCTATAGATTACTCTATTTACACCAAATAGAAGAGCAACCATAATGACACCAAGTAATGATAAGAATGGAATGCAAAGACAGGAATAACGAAAATTTCTCATTAATGCAGTAATGTAAATCTAGAAAAGACAATAAATAATACAGAGGAGAAACGATCAATAATCAAAGTGAGTAAAGTATTATCACTAATATTGTTAAGCTTTTTATGACAAACGAAAGTAATTGCAAACTATAGGTGGGAAATAATCCAAATTTATACAAAGTGTTATGTAAATTTCTTTTTTCGGTAAAAAACATATCAGTTTCTTCAGTAATACTGTGGTGCGCGTTACTTATAAGTAGTATATGACGTGAGTAAAAACGTAATGTGTGGCACCAGAAGATGAGGGAAGATCAAGAAAGGAAGAGTGGGAATACAATGGAATTTGTATGAAACGCATGAATAGTGAGCTGTCAGACAATGGATTGATGATGGATTGAAGATTTGCAAATTAACCGTTTCCGATATGGTTTTCCTATTTTACTGAGTAACTCTGTAATTTTTGTTGAATACAATTCGGTTGCCCTCATCTGTGTTCTCCTTCACTACAATACTAGTGAAAAAGATCTGAAAACTATTGGAATGTAACCATTAACCTTGGCAATTTAACTCACAAGGAGTATCGACTCCCTAAAACTCACAGTTATACACTCACGATTAGTGCGAAATAACATAGAATATATGTTTAGTTTTTTCTGCTTGCTACCTTCAAAAACTTAGCTGCAAGTATATCATTCTCTAAATTTTGGCAGAGAATAAAATGAACTCTGTTGTTCGGGGCTTTCTGCTCCAGTAAAATGAAAACCTTGCTTAAAATTCTGTTGTGGTAGTGATGAGCGATTTTTCACTGCTACGTATAACAATTTCGTGAGTGTTATGCTCGTCAATTGATATGCTTGTATGCTATTACGAGTTCATCTGACTCGGTAAACGAAAGCGAAGACAAATGATTCAGTGTAAGGGTAGGCTATTCCGATCCGATTGTTCCTGGCCCTGTCAAATATAGGAAGAAGTCTTGATATGGCGTAGAAAGTGTATTCTACAAGCACCCAGAAAATATGAGGTCCACAAGCACACGAATCGAGTTTATTTGTACATCATTGAAACGTCCTTGGGAGAGCCACAAAATACATCAACCAATGATATTCAAAGATTTTCCAGGGGGAATGTAATTTCAAGGTCAACTGATCAACCCATGCGCGAAAACACAAAATCCAAATTTAAGACCTTCATCAAGTGAGTTCTGGGGATCTAAAGTCCCCAACAGTGAGAAACGCCAGGGTTCGGCAATAATTCTAGGCAAAAATAGTAAAACACATGATGAGGAAGTGGACCTCCGATGGCTGAGGCAGCTGAAATATGTGATACGTATGTCAAACCATCATCTACCTTTTAGAATTGCAGATTGCACTTAAGCTTGGGACTACCAAACCTCGATTAAAGATCAGTTCAAAAAGACACTAACTAATGGAGTGAGCTATGTAGTTAGATACATGTAAACTACTTTGTTAGGTTCAATGCAATAATTGCAGTTATCAGTTAGAGACATTTAGTGGTATTGTTCAGAATCATTTACAGCAATTTTAGACTAATTCACACTTTGTTTTTAATGTAATGAGTATTTTTCCTTTTGTTATCGAACTATTCTTATTATTATTGTCTATCCTTGATCTACTTCTGTGGTGCGCGCTACTTATAAGTAGTATATGACGCGAATAAAAACGTAATGTCTGGCAGCAGAAGATAGAGGAAGATCAAGAATGGAAGAGTGGGAACACAATGGAATTTGTATGAAACGCATGAATGGTGAAATGTCAGACAATGGATTGGTGTTTTGCAACAGGAACAGTCCAGTTCGATATGATGGGTTGATATTTTGCAAATTAACGATTTACAATATGGTTTTCCTATTTTACCAATTAACTCTGTAATTTGAGATAAATACAATTCGGTTGCCCTCACCTATGTTCTCCTTCACTACACAACTTCTCTGGTGTTTGTCTTCGTAATTTTACCAATATTATGTTCGTTTGATGTTACAACTTCAACCGACATATATATTCTAGCTGAGGAAGAAAATTAGGCAAAACGCTGGAGGTGGATAGGACACACATTGCAGAAATCACTCAACTACGTTACAAAGCAAGCTGTCACTTGGAATTCTCAACGCGAAAGGATAAGTGGTAGACCAAGAAATAAAATGAGCCAAGAATTGAAGATAGACAAGGAAAGAATGAATAGCCATCGTGTAGAACTGTAAAAGAAGGTCCGCGACAGAGTTGGCTGAAGAATGTTCGATGGAGGCCTATGCTCCGTTAGGAGTAACAGACTTAAGTAAGCTAAGTGATCAATTAATTGACTGATTGCTCAGCAAGAAACTTTGTAGTGAAGGAGAACACTGGTGAGGGCAACCGAATTGTATTTAACGAAAATTACAGAGTTACTCAGTAAAATTGGAAAACCATATCGTAAATCGTTAATTTGCAAATCTTCAATCCATCATCAATCCATTGTCTGACATTTCACTATTCATGCGTTTCATACAAATTCCATTGTGTTCTAACTCTTCCTTTCTTGATCTTCTCCCATCTTCTGCTGCCAGACATTACGTTTTTATTCGCGTCATATACTACTTATAAGTAGCTCGCACCACAACCTTGAAATATTATCATTTCAATATTGATTAACTAAGAAGGATCTATGAAAATGCATGAAAAAATTGTCAATAATTTTAATTAACAAACTCAATGCTTTCATCAATTACACATAATTAATTAATGATTATTGACTTACTGTAACAAATATTGTTGCATACATTGAAACAGCTGCTCCCAATGAAGGAAATGATGTTCTATGTGAAGTTCAATATTCAATGGTGAAATGAAAAAAATATGTTAAAATTATTTACAGAAAAATAATTGCATACTACTGGCTTTTGAAAATAAAACACACCAATTATCCCTTACTTACTTACTTACTTACGCCTGTTACCCCCAATGGAGCATAGGCCACCCACCAGTTTTCTCCAACCAACTCTGTCCTGGGCTTCCCTCTCCAGTTCTGTCCAATGTTTGTTCATTCCTCTCATATCTTTCTCTATTTCTCGGCGTAATGTGTTCCTTAGCCTTCCTCTTTTTCTTTTGCCTTGAGGGTTCCATGTGAGGGCTGTCTTGTGACGCAGTTCGGAGCTTTTCTTAGTGTGTGTCCTATCCACTTCCAAAGCTTCTTCCTAATTTCCTCACCCAGTGGAATCTGGTTTGTTCTCTCCCATAGTACATTGTTACCGATAGTGTCTGGCCAACGAATCCGAAGTATTTTGCGAAGACAACTGTTCATAAATACTTGTATGGCTTTCGTAGTTCTCCATGTTTCCGCTCCATAAAGTAGAACTGTCTTGACATTTGTATTGAAAATCCTGATTTTGGAGTTGATTGATATTTATTTGCAGTTCCAGATATTCTTCAAATGTAGAAATATTGCCCCTGCTTTGCCGATCAGCGCCCTCACAACTGCATCGGATCCACCTTGGTTGTCGATGATGCTGCCCAGATATGTAAAGGTGTTAACGTCCTCCAAGGCATCTCATTCACGTGTACCAATTATCACTGTTTAATAATTATTACTTATGAAAGTTTGTATTTACCTGTTCTTGATATCAAGAACTACAAATGATCAATCTCAACAACAGGAAAATATGAATAATTTTAATGAATATGCTTTATATCTATTGATGATATGAGAAGAATGAACAAAAATTGGACAGAACTAAAAAGGTGGGAACGGTCAGGACACAGTAGGTTGGTGAATACTGATCGGTGGACTATGCTTCATCAAGGGTAACAGGCGTAAGTAAGTAATTAAAGTATTATCTATTCTTGGTTATTCAACAAGTCTGCTTCGCATGCATGCCGCTGCTTTTTAAGCAACACAAGGATTCTCACAAAAGCCATTTTGCAATCACCCCTGCACCCCATACGGAAACGCACATGTTGTCTAGAATGGTCTGCAGACAATTGGACGTCCAAAAAGCACGCACACGAGCAATGGTCCCCATTCGGGCACTTATGAATCAACAGGATCCCTCCAACCGATCCACTACCCACAATCCCCAATCGGCAAGGGCGGAAAAGCGGGCTTCCCCAGTTAGACCTGACACCCTGAACGGATTACCAAGCCACCCAGCAGTGCACTAACCAGCGGCCATTCCAACCGTTTGGCCTCCAAATGCCTTGCGCTTACACAATCGATCGTAGCCCCCGAACTCCACATGAAACTAAAGATCGAGTTCATCCCACAAGGTCAGCCGGAACGTACACCTTCCCATGGGGTAGATGTCATGGACTCGATCAAGCGCAAGCACTCAGCCAAGCAAGGTTAATTCCAAAACATAAGTGGGCAGACATCATTGGCATCCAGTACCATTAAGCACTAGATCACATAAACCAACTGGAGACCATTGTTTAAGGGTCCCCGACGCCAGTTGACACAATACACCGAGATGCAGAGTGTTTGGGACAACCACATACGGTCGGCGTCAATATCCTTTTGACAAGTCTCAACTAGGATGAAATTCTACTTTAAAACTACCTGATATGCTCGTCAATGGATATGCTTCAAACTAATACGAGTTCACTTTATGCGGTAAATGAGAGCGAAGACAAATGATACACTGACACGATAGGCTGTACTGATTTGATTATCCCCGGCCCTGTTAACTATACCAAAAAGTCTTGATATGGCGTAGAGAATGTATTCTACAAGCACCCAGAAAATATGAGGTTAACAAGCACACATGCATGCTTATGCATGATAGAAACGTCCTTGAGAGAGCCACAAAAATAGCGTACTAAAATAATGCATCAACCAATGACAGTCAAGGATTTTCGAGAGGGAAATGTAATCTCGAGGTCAACCGAGCAACTTATTCGCGAAAGCATAAAAAGTCCAAAAATTAGGACCTTTTCCAAATGAGTTCTGGGGAGCCGATGTCCCCAAAACTACCATTTAAGCTTCTTTTTAAATAAAAATTAACACATTACTTAATTGCATTGCGGGGTTGTTGTGAAGATTGTTGGGTTTTATTTGTAACCATGAATCGATCAATGTTAGACCACCATTAGAAACCTGCAAGAAGCACTGGACGGCCGTTTTGTCCTGGTATGGGACTCCTCAGCAGTGCGCATCCACGACTCCTGCACATCGGAGGATTCGAACCCAGGACCTTGAGTCTAACTCGTGAAAACCTAACCTCTCGACCACTGGGCTGATAGCCAATGGTGTTAATGTCTAACTTGATCAAATTCACGGAGTTGCGCAACCTCATACACTGTATACATCCGAACAGGTTTGAACTTCACTGGTCACGACTTCCCACTAGAATTCGGAGAAGATTCCTCACCAAGCTAGTCACTGGTGGACACATGTAATTGCATTGAGGGGTTGTTGTGAAGATTGTTAAGTTTTATTTGTAACCATGAACGGTTAGGGCGTTCGCGCACAATACCGAAGGTCCTGGGTTCGAATCCTGCGGGATGCAGGAGTCGTGGATGCGCACTACTGATGAGTCCCATACCAGGACGAAACGGCCGTCCAGTGCTTCCAGGTTCGATTCATGGTTACAAATAAAACATTACATAATGTTATTTCATGTTCATTGTTTTTTTTCGTACACACTTACCTCGCCTCTTTAAGTTTTAAAATATTATTCTCCATACAATTGGCATTTGTGAATAAACCATCCGATAACTGGCCAGTCGATGATTCCGGTGAAGGTGTTGTAGCTACTGTCACTAAATATTTACCTTGTTTAGCTAATTGTGCTACAATTAAATCTAACAATTGTGGATCAGATTCAATTGGATTACTTCCATGTTCATCAATAGATTGACGTGTTTTTTGAATGAGTCTATACCATTTAGGACAAACATTTTCAGATGGACGACATATTTGTATGAAATCTGGTCGAAGACGTCCAACAGAAATTTTAATTAACCAAACTAGTAGCATAGTTGTAAGTAGACCGAAAATATAAGTAACTGGTGTTTTAAAAAAAGAACACAGAACGAAACAGACAAATTAGTCAAGAAAGGGAAAAATCTTTTACGAAAAATAAACCAGCGTAAAAAAAGTAAAACACTGACCTCCTATTGCGAATGCTTACTTACTTACTTACTTACTTTAGCCTGTTACCTTCAATGTAGCATAGGCTGCCCACCAGTTTTCTGCAACCAGCTCTGTCCTGGGCTGCCCTATCCAGTCCTGTCCAATTTTTGTTCATTTTTCTCATGTCTTTCTCTATTTCTCGGCGCAATGTGTTCCTTGGCCTTCCTCTCTTCCTTTGACCTTGAGGGTTCCATGTGAGGGCTTGTCTTGTGACGCAGTTAGGTGCTTTCCGCAATGTGTATCCTATCCACTTCCACCGCTTCTTCCTGATTTCTTCCTCCACTGCAATCTGGTTTGTTCTCTCCCACAGTAAGTTGTTACTGAGTGTCTGGTCAACGATTATGAAGTACTTTGCGTAGACAACTGTTAATAAACACTTGTATCTTCTGGATGATGATGGCTTTGGTAGTTCTCCAAGTTTCCACTCTATACAGTAGAACTGTCTTGACATTTGTATTGAAAATCCTGATTTTGGTTTTGGTTTAAAGTTGTTTGGAGTTCCAGATATTTTTCAATTGTAGAAATGCAACCCTTGCTTTGAGATGGTGGAGAAAACTTGTAGCTCAGGTGGATGATTGTGGTGGTGTTTTGTTCTCTGAGCTGGTTGTTTTGGTTGTGGAGCTTTCATTGTTCTTCTGAACAACATCATCAGCACGAACTTCAGATAGAAGTGAAGCATTAGAATTTCTCCACGTTTGACCTGTAGCTTGTTCTGCTAACCTCGATCTTGATTGGTTGTTGTTGACATTTGACCTGTCGTTGTTTGCAACTATGTTTTGATTGCCTCCCTCTTTTGATCTGTTTCTTGATCTAGTGTCACCTATGATTTTCCTGATTGGTTGATAAATTGGGTCAATGTCGATGTGTTTGTTGATTGCTAATTGACCTGAGTGCCAAGCTTCTAAAAATTCTCTAGTGTTCTTTGTCCTCCCCCTACCTAGTATTTCCACGTTGTTCCAATCAAATGTGTGTCCATAATTGTCGGTGTGTATTGATATAAGCGAAGCGTTGTCGTGGCGTTTGACTGCTAATTGATGTTCACGTAAACGGAGCTGAAGAGGTCGTCCACTTTGTCCTATGTAGTGTTTTTCACAATTTGAGCAATTTATTTTGTAGATGATATTTGGTTTTTCTTCCTTTGTCATTTTGTCCTTTGGTCTACATAGGATTGACTGAAGTGATTCCGTTGGTTTGTGTGCCACACCTATTCCAAATGGTTTCAGTAGTCGTGCCGTATGCTCTGATATGCCTTTGATGTATGGTAGGATGATGCGTTTATTTGTTCCTGTGCTTGATTTCACTCCTGATGATAGTTTTGGTTGATGTTTTTTGATGAAGTTGCGTGGATAGCCGTTCTTTTGGAAGATAGTCATCGGAAGCCAACCCACACCGACGTAATTCTCAACTACGACAGCAACAACCCAAGAACCCACAAAATCAACTGCATACAAACTCTGTTCAAGAGAGCGAAGACACACTGCAGCACATACGAAACATTAAAAAACGAGGAAAAACATCTGATTCCGGTTGAACAATCATTGGAGACCAGGAACACTACATAGGACAAAGTGGACGACCTCTTCAGCTCCGTTTACGTGAACATCAATTAGCAGTCAAACGCCACGACAACGCTTCGCTTATATCAATACACACCGACAATTATGGACACACATTTGATTGGAACAACGTGGAAATACTAGGTAGGGGGAGGACAAAGAACACTAGAGAATTTTTAGAAGCTTGGCACTCAGGTCAATTAGCAATCAACAAACACATCGACATTGACCCAATTTATCAACCAATCAGGAAAATCATAGGTGACACTAGATCAAGAAACAGATCAAAAGAGGGAGGCAATCAAAACATAGTTGCAAACAACGACAGGTCAAATGTCAACAACAACCAATCAAGATCGAGGTTAGCAGAACAAGCTACAGGTCAAACGTGGAGAAAGTCTAATGCTTCATTTCTATCTGAAGTTCGTGCTGATGATGTTGTTCAGAAGAACAATGAAAGCTCCACAACCAAAACAACCAGCTCAGAGAACAAAACACCACCACAACCCTTGCTTTGCCGATCCGCGCCCTCACATCTGCATCGGATCCACCTTGATTGTCAATGATGCTTCTTGTGAATGAGATCACACAAATTTCATATAGTTTTATTTAATTGAAAGAAAAATTGATCAGTACTTAGTGAACATTGCATCAATGGTCAATTCAGAACAAAACGTAATAGTCATTTTAAAAAGCAAAGTGACTATTTTTTTTCTTTCATAGATTTCAACAAATTCTATTGGTGTACAGTTGAACAAGTTTATATTGAATATTTCTAATGATGATTTGTATATGTGAACAGAGTATTGAGCATGTCGAATCTTTCTCATTTTACAAATTCTAAGCAGTAATCTCATAGATATGGTCAGCTTCGCCCTACCGGATAAATACATATTCAAACAATTGATCATTGAACGAGTATCCCAAGTGAACTGAGCTAACTAACTCAGTTCGAACACATAATTGAATGAAATACGGTGTTTGAATCAAACACAAACTAGACTTGCCGAAATAATTTATTGATTAGTAAGAAATACTCAAATACAAATTATATGTAAAGTAATAATGATTGGTGTTGGTAGGATATTCACCAAATATCTTAAGAGTACTATTTTTAGAAGTATAATCCTATTGGTCGATTTCTATTGGTCAAAATTATGATCGTTTTAACTGTCAAAGTCAAATACTGCAATGTTGTCTCTTATTGGTCATCCAGACTGTCACTGTCATTTGAAATGTTCTTTCCTATTGGTCGTCCTAAACTGTCAGTGTCACAGACTTTGATGCTCTTTCCTATTCGACCTTAATGTATAAATATGCACTATCTGTAAGACTCCATGATTCCGTTTCTTCCTGCCAACCTCTCTTCTGTACTCGACCCAATAAACAACTTCTCACGGTGTTGCGTTCTGATATATAAGAGATTTGGAAATAGCATTTTGGGTGGTATTGGGATATTTGAATTGGACACCGCTAGGACTGAATAGCTAGCTATACGTAGCAGCATTATAACAGATTTGGCAACGGGGATGGGTTGTTCTTCGTTTTGGTGTTTGATCAAGAACTCAATTTCATTGATTATTGAATAATCTATCAAATTCCTACTGTACAAAAACATATCTCTTTTAAATTGATCTTAACCATGTTCACTGTTTTAGAACATTCTTTTAGAATTAATAAATCAAGCAACTCATATTTTTGTCGGCAGTTGGTTGTGGAGATTGTTGAGTTTCATTGAGATCATTGGCCGATCAATGTCATGGATGTGTACTGCTGACGAGTCTCAGACTTGCTCTAAACGGCTGCCTAATACAGCCAAGTTACCGATAATGGGTCTACTACACTGATCACAGGCGTAAGTAAGTAAGTAAGTACATCACTTCACCTAAACGTAACACAAGAATTCTCGTTTGTTGAGAGATTACAATTGTTAAAGAAAATTACGTTATTTCATCCATGTAAAAATATGCCCAGTGAGTGTGTGTGTGTATATGTAGGAGAGAATACAGAAGAAAAATTATCAACTTACTAAATAAACGATACAATTGACCAATAAATTTCATAGTTGCCCATGGTCTGGAATTAGTTTTGGTTAAACACATTTGACAACAATTAAAAAGGTAGAAAGTGATTTCTACAAAACAAATCTATAATAATGAAAAAAAAAGTTAAATTCAAAATACGGTGATTTTTATGAATTATTTCAATAAAACACTCATATTGAACATTGATAAAGCGAATAATCCATAGTCTGTAAGAAATTATGCTTACCTTCAGTCTATAGAAGTTCTATTCCTCACTAAGCCATTACTTACTTATGACTGTTACCCGTAATGGAGTATAGGCCGCCAACTAGTATTCTCTAACCCACTCTGTCATAACATTCATTAAAATGTAGACAGTTCTATTCGAACAAATATTTACATTACCAAATTCATTATTCACTTTTCATAAATTTACCGTATTTGGACTGTGTATGCCTATTTGTTGAGCCCACAGGGCTTGTATCAGCTTTTGAACGATTTAACCAATACATACTACTTCTAAGTTATTCACTCGACTTTTGACCTAGCTAACTGTTAGCAGTTTATCTTGTTTGTTTTTATTCAGGTGTGTATGTATGCCGCTAACTTCGCTTCATACATGTCTAGCTTATTTTGTTTGATTATAAATACTTATTTCCAGTTAGAGCTTCGGAGATGTGTTGTTTTAGACATTTGAAATCATCAATCAATCAATCATTGTTAGACCACCATCAGAAACCTGGAAGCACTGAAAGACAGCCGTTTCGTCCTAGTATGGGACTACTCATCAGAGGCAGTGCGCATCCATGACTCCTGCACCTCGCAGGACTCGAACCCGGAACCTTCGGGTTTGTGCGCGAACGCCTAACCATCGGACCGGCATCCAACAGTGTTAATGTCTAACTTTGATTGATCTACGGATTTCGCGCGACATCACCCATTAGTCTTTGGTAGTTACTGCTTGCCTTCTTGTTGGGGATGTTAGATCCTCAGAACTCGCTTGATAAATAAATGCCTTATTTTGGATTTCATGTTTGCGAGCATGGGTTGATCAGTAGACCTTGAGATTCCATTTCCCACCAGGAAAATCCATGGCTGTGATTGGTTGCTGTGTATTTTAGTGTGCTGTTTTCATAACTGTCCCAAGTACGTTTCTATGATGTATAAATAAACGAGATTTGTGTGCTTGAATGCATTGTGCTTGCTGTATGTTTGTAGAATATACTTTCTACGCTATATCAAGACTTCGATTTAGCCGTTTCAGAACAAGGTAGCCTACGTGGATGCTGATTCATTGTCTCGTTAGCGTTTATCGACTAAGGTGAACTCGTAATATCCTCAAGCATACTAAGTGACGAACCCAATACTTCTCCAGTACGCTTCGCTTTAACGCTTCGTATCCTCATACCTCGCTGCATGAACGATTGCCTGAAATAAACTCATCCTACCGAATTCTTATTTAGCTTCTAATTGCCGCCTTCGCAAAAATGGTGTTCGCCCATGTATGATATTTGAAAAGTGAAGGGGCGATTTATTTCATAGTATATTTAAATGTTCATAAATATTGGAGTTAGATAGCGGACCACGAAAATGGTGTACCTTACTTGAAATTCAACTCTTTCATTCATCATGAAGTGAACGTGAGTAACTTACTATGATCAATGGTACAATTATTGAACATGTAACAATTGAACTAATTGTTATCTGTTGATAATAATCAGCTTGTGATTGTGATTGTTTAAACCAACGATAATCATTTTGAATGCGTTGAATAAATTCTTTATCTGTTGGATAATTACGACCATAGTATTGTTTAAGAGTTGAATCTCTTGGTCCATATAATTGTTGTTCTTTAGAAAATGAAGAAGAAGAAGAAGCAGACGAAATGCTGAACAACTTTGGTGGAAGCATTAATCCCAAATCACTATCCCAATTATCAGGATTAATTCGTGTGAATTCTTGTGTCATACGTCGCCAGTCGGATTGAACTCTTGATAGTTGAGTTAATGGATTCGGTGTGGTTAGTGTAGTAAGACCTGACGATCCTGATGATGAAGCGACAGCTTGTTGTTGTTGTTTAATACGTTCCAAAAGAGCTTTTAGTTCAGGATTCAATTCACCGATATTATTTAAGCTGCTAACACTGTTACTCATAAAACTATCTTTATAACCGGGTGGTATATCAGGACATTGAAATTTTCTTTGATACAATGGTATCCAATCAGCCCATCTGAAATGAATAAAAAATTTGATTCATTATTCATCTAATTTTTTTAAAATTATATTTATAAAATCGTCATAACTCAATTGAAGGATTTTAATTTAATGGAGTGTTAAAATATTCATCCAATATCTTAAGAGAATTACTGGTCAATTCCTATTGGTTAATTCATACTGGTCAATTCTATGGCCGTCCTGGATATCAGTAACACGTACTCCAATGCTGTTTCTTATTGGTTGTCCTGACTATCAATGTCAATTCAAATGTTGCTTCCTATTGGTCGTCTTAAATGTCAATGTCACAGACTTCGATGCTGTTTCCTACTCAACCTCTAAATGTATAAATACGCATCATCTGTAACATTCCATGACCTGGACCTAGACCCGGATCCATAGTCCGGGATCGTGATTTTCTTCTGGACTCAGACCTCGTACTTCTGGATGCTTGTAGAATACAGGTTCTACTTCATATCAAGTCTTGTCTTCTTTTACTAAATATGGGGTTGGGATATGAGTATCATGTCGTGTCGCCGGATCCTCGCTCTCGTTTTCGGACTAAGGTGAACTCGTAATAGTTCAAGTATATCAAGTTGACGTGTTTACGTGCAGGCATAATAGGAGACTAGTATTATTTGTCACAAATTTGTGTTATTTGAGATATTATTGACTAACCAAAGAGTACCAGTCAACTGTCAACTGAAGTTGCATTGTGCCAATGAACACCGGGTGGTGTTTTTAAGGATTAGACATTCTCTTCGAAACCTGAAAGTCTTGAATTCATCACTTCATAGAGTTCATTGATAAGGTATTCGATAGAATGACTGAATAATTGTCCAGTGCTTAATAGTATGCACACAAAAGTTAGTCAGTAATCGGTGCCATGATTTGTATGTCTTACGGAGAACGTCGGATGAAATTCAATGACCAGTAACCTCAACAAAGTTGTCTTTCGTTCATGGACTCGATTATTAGTTGATTCCATACTAAAAGAGTAAGCTATATTTAGTGAACCCTAGTTTTTGATAGCTTTCCAACCGATGAAGAAAACCAACTTCAAAACTAATTTATTTATCTGTGAAAATTAACTAAGCAGCTGGCTAAATGTAACATTGAATATGTTAGAAATATGCATGACAAATAATTTGTAGCTTAGAATAAACCAACTTTCATTTAAGGGAAATAATTCTGGAAAAAAAACGCTGGAAGTGGACGGGACATGTCTTGCGAAAATCACCAAAATACATCATAAGACAAGCCCGTAACTGACAATCCTCAAGACAAAATCAAATGAAGAAGGCCATAGCACACAATGAGTCGAGAATTTCGAGGCAGTTGTTAAAAGTATGAATAGCATTTGGCAACAATCAGAAAAGAGAGCACAAAACAATGTTGGTCGAGGAAACTGCATTGACGGCCAATGTTCCATGAGAGGTAACAGAAGTAAGTAAGTGCGACAGATCATTTTATTAAAACTGTAAATAACTGATCATACCAAATAATCTACTTTTCAATTAGAGTTATGGATATTAGTGTTTTTTGCACACTGAAATCATCAATGAATCATTGTTAGATTACCAATCGAAACCTGGAAGTTCTGGACGGCCGTTTAGTTCTGCGAGGTGCAGGAGTCGTGTATGTGCACCGCTGATCAGTCCCATACCAGGAGTTGACGGCCGTTCAGTGCTTTCAGGTTTCTAATAGTGGTCTAACAATGATTGATTGATGATTTCAATGTGCAAATAATCTATCTCTATTAAAATATTTGAATGGCAAAAGTATTCGTTTTCGTCTTTACTTCAAAGTTCTTAATCATTCAGTTGTATAGTTACACAATCAATACAAACTGAAGTTTATCACCATTCAAACCATGTGACTACTGATTCATGGATTTCATCAAAAGAGACAACATTATATAATAAGAAATATTTGGGAAATAAACGATTCGATACATGTTACAACCCAACTGAAACTTGTCAACTGGATGTACATGGATCCTAGAGTTTTGATATTCACATTGAGATTCTAATTAGCTGGGAAAAACTAACTGGCTATTTATACCTAGTTGTCTAGTGGATAACGTGTTAATGTTTAAAATAATAATCATTCAAGTTAAATTTCAGTGTGAACATTAACACAAGGAGCCATACTGTTAGTGGGACATAGATGGAATCAAAGCATGACTAAGTTGCTGCGCGCTGATTGGCTAAATTCCTATCCAATCAGCGCCTGATCGATTATTGGAGAACAGAGTAGAAAGTTCTCGTGTTGTTAGCTGCACTCTGATTGGCTAAATCCAATCCAGTCGATCACGTGAATTACAATCCAGAAGCTTCTCACGTAAATACTATAAAGAAACTAACGTTGTATCTAATTTGCCTTCGCCTTCGCCATCACCTTTGGCTTCGTATTTCCATTTAACTTTGCTATTTGGAATATAATCTTTTCCTGTTCCACCGTGTTTTTGATTCTTTGGAACTTGTCCAGCGCGTTGTGGTTAGAGAATACTAAGCAATGGGAATTAGCTGGGAATTATTTAAGCAAGCGTTACAACACATACACATTCAACTGATGATTCTCAAACACAACGAAACAACCGTCTTGACATTTTTAATTACTAACCACAATTCAAAAATATTCAAACTTGTCACAAAAGACTAACATAAGAAAGTAATCTTCACAAGGTATTTACAAGTGGCAATAAAAACACTGATCAATCCCACAGTTGAATTTTAACAAAACAGAAATTACAAATCATTATGAATTAAAAGATTAACTGTTTAGTGTACGTAAACTGAAAAATTAGAAAGTATTATTTTTTAAAAACGTTAACTGAAAAGAAATCACTGTAACTTACAAAGTTACACAAATTGATCGAATTCTAGGATCTGTATATAACCATCCATCAGCAGAGCAGCTATAAAATGAAAATATATGCATATATGTAATGTAAAAATTCATTTGTTAAACACACTGAATCAAACCTTATCTTGTCATATAAGTAGTATTTAGTAGTCTGTCAATAATCAATGTTCATTGGGTAGTAAGGAAATTGTTTAGATGCTTTGAAACTGTTAGGATATTCATCCAATATCCTGAGAGAATTACTGGTCACTTTTATGGTCGTCCTAGATATCAATGTCACGTACTCCAATGTTGTTTCTTATTGGTTGTCCTGACTGTCAATGTCACAGACTTCGATGCTGTTTCCTATTCGACCTAAATGTATAAATACGCATTATCTGTAACGTTTTATGACCGGACCCGGACCCGGATCATCAGTTCGGGATCCGTGTCTTCTTCTGGAGTCGGGTCTTGTACTTTCTGTACGCTTGTAGAATACAGGTTCTACTTCATATCAAGTCTTCGTCTTTCACTCAATGGGGGTTTGGGACTCTCGGATTTGAGTATCATGTCATGTCACTGGATCATCAATCCTCGCTTTCGTTTTCCGACAAAGGTAAACGCGTAATAATTCAAGCATACCTAGTGACGAGCATAACAGAAACTAGGCTTCATTCAAGATGAGATTCTTTAGCAGGATATTTCTTTATTATTTATGAACAGTTCTAAAATAAGAGCACTATAAGAATCAGAAGTAGCTTTATCGAAAATTATCCATTTTCTCCTAATTACTTATGGGAGTAATTTCAACAAAAGGATTTCACAGCAAAAATCATGAGAAAAGATAAAAATAGGATGGAAACTTCAAACCATAAAATATTTAGGGGACCTAGTCAATGGTGAAAAACGATCCACTTGCATGAAACCAGCACATTGGTGTAAACGTGTGACTATAGATCAAAAAAAAGGTTATAGTGCAAGATGTTGGTACATTATTATAGGAACCAACAACGCAGAGGACTCGGGAAATATTTGTCAGTAGATTCCAACATTTAACACTTTCCTTGATGGCTTTTTAAACTTCCTTCCTAGCCACAGAGAGGATAAGTTCACTCTACATTACAAGTAGCCTTTACTGAATAGTAATAATTACCATAAAACTTAGGTGCAGAGTTTCCTCTCAGTTACCTTCAACCACTTAATAATCTCATATTTTTTTACTTTGCGCGCGTGACCGAAGGTCCTGGGTTCGAATCATGCACTGCTCATGGGTCCCATACCAAGATGAAACAGCCTTCCAGTGCTTCCAGGTTTCTAATGGGGTAGTCTAACCATTGATCGATTCATGATTTCAAATGTGTAACTTAACAATCTTCACAACCCCATAATGTAACTTCTATATGCAAATCAACTGATGTTCGCCACAGACTTAACTTAATTCTCAGTGTAATAATAATATCAGAACTGAAATTAGAAATATATGATTAGTTTTGTTGTCAATTAATCAACAGAAAACCAACCACAGTTTCCCTTATGTTTTTTTTTCCCTTGACTACCTATAATTAAAGTAAAAAGGTTCTTTTTTTCCTGCTACGAACTTCTAACCTACTGTCAGTGATTTTCTTCATTAGTTTAACAAGTATGAAAGTCATTATTGACAAGACATAATATTTTTTTTCTTAATGATACGTTGTTTGTTTTTTCTCAAGAAAAAAATTATCCTCATGATAAAGAAGTGAACTGTTACCTAATATTGTTTTGTGAAAACATTGCACATTTCACATAATGTCACTGATTTACTTGAGAAAAAAAAAGACTAATTTTGTAGCCATAAAGGTCAGTTCTAATTTACTTGTTTCAACATTTTACAAATTACTTTTTCCAAGTGATACGTTCATACTTAAAAAATCAGATGATGATGATTTGATAAAAATTAATCAATACATTGAAAACAATTAACCAATTAACATTCACCAAGAAAAGTATAACATTCCGGTGACCTTGGATAGAGTATCAGCCAATCAGGTAACACGGCCTGGTTTTAAAGCAATCAACTGTAAAAAACTCACAAAATATCCGTTGGATAATGAAAGCTTTTATCTGAACAATCAACAATCATCACACGTCGGATTATTCGCTGTGATGGAAGGAACAGACTAAATTCACGTATTAAAAGTTGGGCTAATGTTCTGTGTTAGGCTTATCACTCCACAAAGTTTCTATCACCATATGAGAACAATTAGGATGAATGCTAAAAGGTTAGGGTTAAGTTTGGAAAGTTAAGCTGGAGTTCCAATTAGTGTTAGGGACTGACATTAGCTATTACGCAAACGTCTCTTACTCTACTGTTTATAAAATTATAGTTGAGATTTAGAGTAAGAGTTAGAAAGGAAGGATGATTTTTAGCTTCACTAAAAACTTTAATGAAAATGCATAACAGACACTTTGTCATGTGATTTACCTTGCGGGCAGTTATGTTCGCTGATTTACCTCAATCACCACCTTACATTCACTTTCTAATTTTATATAATAGTGTTGTGCACGAAAAATCGGGTTAGGACATTAACATATATATATTTAAGCGAATATTACAGAGTTGTTAAGCATATGTACAAAACCTTCCCGTGAATCATCATTTGCAAACTAATCCTTATTTTGTTTCAGATTTCAGTGTTCTTTCATTTAGGCTGTTCAGACTTTAGTTCACCTTACGTTATCTACAAATCGCCTTCTGTTTCATTCTTTCCTTCTCGATCTTTTGCTGTCAGACGTTTGATTTCCATTTGATATCATATACTACTTATTTGAACGTAAGTAGCGTACACCACAGTAGGAATTTCTGTTTACTTCAAACATTTTAAGGACTATATATATTGCCATTTTGTATTTTGTTAATAATAGTACAATAGTTATGTAACGTTACAGTTTAAATTTTGTGCAAAATTAGCGGCGGGTTATTTTCATTCTGATTGGTTCATTCAAGGTTGTCAATATAGGATACTTTGCCCCATGCATTACTTAGGGCGAGAACATTAAAAAAGGTTCTATCATGTGGTTATGTAATTTTTTACTAAGTTAATAAATGGATTAATTTTTTTCTTAAATGATTAATTATGTTTTCCGTTTTGCTTATATTGAAGATTGAATTTCGAACACTTACAATTCAATGTTATAGACCTTCGATAAATGTGTTGTATGCAACAATATTGACCATTTGTCCGTTAATCTAGTTTGGGAATGCTATATTTTGTAGTATGTTTTAGGGGGGTTAGCTCCCTAGAACTGACTTGGAAAAGGTCCTGATTTCTGGTTTTTTGTATGCTTGTCAACCTCGTCTTTTCTGGATGCTTTTAGAATACACTTTCTACGCCATATCAAGACTTGTTGATCTAGTTAGCCTGGCCGGGGACAACAGATTAGAATAGCCTATCGTGTCACTGTATCATTTGTCTTCGCTCTCGTTTACCAAGTAAGGTGAACTCGTAATAGCATTCAAGCATATCAGTTGACAAGCATATCAGTATGATTCTAACAAAGTATTTCAGTTCAGAAAGAGTCAAGTTATCCCCCCTATCATTTATCTGCTATCAAGAAATCCATGCAGTTCAGCGAACAGACCGGATATAAAAGCTTAAGAATTTCAAAAAAGTTACGATTCTAACTGATATCTCAAATGAAAATTATACTTTAATAGACATTTTAAATCTTCCACCAGATGAACGAGAAAATAACCTATATTGTTAGATATATCTACAAAATTATTGATTGTTTAAAACATTGCAGCTAACTTCAAATATCTTGTAATAGCTAGTGATATAGAAGTATTTATTTTGTATGTGTATACAATCCTAACAGAAACTGACCAAAATTTTGTCCTATATATATATATATATATATATATATATATATATATATATATGCATTACGGGGTTGTGAAGACTGTTCGGTTACACATTTTTGAAACCATGAATCAATCAATGTCAGACCACCTTTAGAAACCTGGAAGAACTGAACGGCCGTCAAGTCCTGGTATGGGACTCCTCAGCAATCCGCATCCACGACTCCTGCACCCGGTAGGATTCGAACCCAGGACCTTCGGTTTTGTGCGCGGACGCCTAACCATCGGACCACTGAGCCGGTATCTAACGGTGTTAATGTCTAACTTGATCAATTCACATAGTTGCGCAACCTCATACACAGTCTTCGGTCCGATGGTTAGGCACTCGCGCACAATATCGAAGGTCCTGGGTTCGAATCCTACCGGGTGCAGGAGTCGTGGATGCGGATTGCTGAGGAGTCCCATACCAGGACTTGACGGCCGTTCAGTGCTTCCAGGTTTCTAAAGGTGGTCTAACATTGATTGATTCATGGTTTCAAATCTCTCTCTCTTTCTCTCTCTCTCTCTCTCTCTCTCTCTCTCTCTATATATATATATATATATATATATATATATATATAGATATATATATATATATATATATATATATATATATATATATATATATAAATTTTGGCCAGTTTCTGTTAGCTTTGTACACATACATCAATATATAATCATGAGAACAAATTCTATTCTCACTGAAATAATTAATTAGTTAGTTAGTTTATTACTTGGTTATTAATGAAATGAACTCAATAACATTTCTGGATAACATGTTGGTATTTGATATGATATCGATATTAGGATTAAATATCAGTGAAAATATTTTACAATGACGTAAAGATACATACCAGCTGAAAAATTCTAAATTAGACAAATACCACTGCCTTAAACCTAACTGTTAGTCATAATTCATATCAATGGTAGTGTGGTGAATACAGCTCATCAGATTGCCTGTAAGTAGTAAACAGCGAGGAGTTACTTGGAAGAAGACAAAAGTTACTGGAGGCCAAGAGAACGACTTCTTCTTACAGCAATAATCAATATTTAACTTAACTTACAATCTTATCGAGAGATATAATACATATTCAACAACTACGTACAAAGCAAATAAGGTTCTATATATATTCATCATCACTTAACATCGCCATTACGTAATCATTGTGGTGCTGCAAAAACTCTATTTTAAGACGAAATAACTGTTTTTTACTACGTCCTGGTTTGAGATGATGGGGAAAATTTGTAGCTCAGGTGGACGGATGATTATAGTAGAGCTTCATTCTCTGAGTTGAATGTTTTTTGGTAATGGAGCTTTCATTGTTCTTCCACTTGAATTTTACTGCTGATAATGTTGTTCACGAGAACAACAAGCAAATCTCCACAACCAAAAACATCTCAATCACAGAACTAAAAAAACCCTACCATAGTCTTCCCGGGTTTTTAATTAAATCATCATCTCTCATAACTAGACAAAAAAAAATTAAGAATAAGAACAAACATAGCATAGCATTGAACATTGAACATTGAACTCACTTGAAAAAGAATATCATTAAAGTCAATCCGATCAATAGTAGAATATCCAATAAAGCGAAGACAATAGATAAACAAATAATGTATGGTTGTTGTTCTTGTTGGTGTTCATGCTGTTGCTGTTGCTGCTGTAGTTGCTCACGATTATTCATTTCATGTCCATCTGATTTATTATTCAGGTCATCAATTAAATTATCGTTATCAGATGATGAGTAGAAACTTCATCATGATGATGTAGGTGTGTGTGTGTGTATGTGTGCGTGGGTGAGTGAGTGAGTGAGTGAGTGAGTAGAAAGAGAGAGAGAGAGACAATACAACAAGATTAATACACAATTCCTAGTAGTAATCAATACAGCAAAGTAGAAGAGAAGTTGGGGTAAAAACAAACTTCTTTTTCCCTTAAAAAACAAAAAGATCTCTATTTCATATGCATTGACCTAATAATATGCGTGTTTAGGAATTGTAGATGCATAGAATAGATTGTATTTAATTGAATTTCATGCAATAAACATCTTTATTTATACGTGTGTATTATAAAAAATGAGTATCTTTCTTTTTTTTTATCAATAATGAATAGGCCGAAAAATAAAGTAATTTTTATTCATTCTTACAAATGATAATAAGATAATAATTATTATTATTATCAACAGTAAGTTTAAAAATACATTGAAAATATTAAATCGGAAGAGGTTTGTGAGTGAGTGTGTGTGTGTGTGTGTACGCGTATGAGTTTTACATAATTACGTATTAAATCGGTTGATAAATATTTATATAAATTGAGTTGTGTGGATAAAGTTAATCACCATAGTATTTAGCATGATTACAGAATAAAGCCTCTCATTTCTGTTCTTGATAAGCTTTCTTGACCTCTGACTACCTCGGTGAACGATGTTTTGTGATGTAGGAATAGGTTGAAAGAAAGCTAGATGTGGCCAAATCTAAACATGGCATAAATCCATGAAGTCATTGACAAATGGACTGAGTCATGTCGGTAGATGTAGGCTATCTAGTTGGTGTCCGCGAGACGATAGTAACCGAGGGTTAGAGACCTTAAACGACATGTCTCAAAGTCGTTCGCAATGGCGCAAGTACATCCAATCCTTGTGTTCTCTCAAATTCTAATCTTTTAAATTCCACAACACCTCTATCGTTCTCATTTTAAATTTATTTCACTAAATTATACGTCTTGCATAATTTCTTCGAACCATAATTTTCTTTATTACCGCTAATACTTCTACTACCTCTAACACTATGTGATTTCAAATGACTATTGCGTCTCTGTGCTGATGTGGTATGGCAACTTGAACTTATGTACGGAATTAAGGAGTTCTACGTTGTAACTGATTGACTCCTGATAAGCTTTAAAATGGTATTTTACATTAAAATTTAGTGAGAAAGTATAAGAGAAGTGATCTTATCTCCCTTGAAGTATGATTCTTTGTTACAATAGTACTGTGTGAGAATGATCACCAGTGGAAGCTGATTCCTTTTATTTAGAAAAAAAAAATGCATTAGTCTAATGAGTCTTTATCAATTGAAAATTTATGACAGAGTGATGTATTAGAATGATCTTGGTCGATCACTGACACTAATTAGTTCATGGAATTAAGTTCTCAGTATCCAAAGTACACTATATGGAAATTATGAGTTAGATGTCTTATTTTAAAATACAACTGTTAGTTAATAACAGTTATATGCGTTATTTAGTTGCTAGTATACTAACCTGAAACTAGACATAAAGGTATCAAAAACAACTTGATTCAATGAAAATGTTATAATAGATGGTCGGTCAGATGAAACTCTATCAACGAGTTTGGTACAACAGATCCCTTTTTCTTAGTGAATTAAAACTGCTATTAGCATAGGGGGATTATAGAGATCGTATTATTTTACCTGTTGAAATCAACCAGACCACCAGTGAAAACGTCAGAAGCATAGGATATTAGACGTTACCTCCTAGTATGGGATCGCTGAATAGTGTATGCCAACAACTGTGGATGTGAAAATTAAAGCCAGTAATTTCGATCTCACATGCTCGAAAGCTCAACTTTCTGTACCGTTGAGCCGGCATCAATTAGTGTTGATGTCTAACTCCAATTAATCCATAGTCTTGTGCTACCTTCATCCTACAGTGTATAAATGTCTCATACCTGACATAAATTGAACTCCATTGATCATGGCTTAGATTTAAATTTTGATTAACAGTAAAATATAGAATGCATATTTTGTTCTAACAAAGACTTATCAGTTAGATACACTTCGATCTTAGTGTTCGAGTGTTGCCATTGAAATTTAAACCCCTTTACCTATCAATGCATATCAGTAGTATATGATTCTGTTTTTGTTCAATAAAGAAAATCGATTCTACTGGTTAATGTCTTCTTATCTTATCTTGTCTTGTCTTTGATTTCAATTAAATTCAACAATTTTATTCAATAATTTCAAATTGTATCATTGTTTACAAATTAAAAAAATCATCTTACAGTCAAACCAAACACACTATACATATTCATATGATCGTATGTTCAATGTCTACTTTTTCAATTAATATTGAATGATGTGCAAAAAACAACAAGCGGTGTTTTTAAATGTTCTATCGAACTCCCTTTTTCTATTAACCAATCTTTTATTTGTAACCATGAATCGGTCAATGTTAGACCACCGTTAGAAACCTGGAAGCACTGGACGGCCGTTTCGTCCTGGTATGGGACTCATCAGCAGTGCGCATCCACGACTCCTGCGCCCCGCAGGATTCGAACCCAGGACCTTCGATATCGTGCGCGAACGCCCTAACCGTTAGATCACTGAGCCAGGACGAAACGGCCGTCCAGTGCTTCCAGGTTTTTAATGGTGGTCTAACATTGATCGATTCATGGTTACAAATAAAACTTAACAATCTTCACAACAACCCCGCAATGCTATTAACCAATCAATAATGTTTTCAACAAATAATTCAAAGTCAAATGCAATTCATTTACTTTACTGACTTACTTTGTTGACGATTCATTGCCATGTAGACAAGATAGACAGGATAATTTACTTTTTGGTTTCCTTCTACCACCTCCAATTCCACTCCCAACACCTGCACTACCTCCACTTTCATAACCATCTCTTAATGATGCAGCAGCATAATGTAATGGCGGCAAAGCATTATAACCTCCATGCATAATATTTGGACTTCTAGGTGTCGGTAGACGCAATGAATGTTGTATACTGGCAGTATCATGTTCCGTGGACGACGGTTGTTGGGATTGTTGCTGTTGTGAGTGTTGTGGTTGGTGTTGCTGGTGTTGTTGTTGAATAGGTAAATTAATTTTTGGCGGAGATAACACCACTGTTTGACCATAACCACGTAACCATGGTTGATCTAAACTACTTGTACTGTCAAATAATGGATTAGTTAAATTTCTTGATCCTTCATTGCGAACATCAATACGATTTAATCGATTCAATGTTTCAGCTCTACGTGTCTCAGCAATATTTTCACTAGTTAACAGCTGACTACGACTTTCTTCATCTGTATCTGTATTAGGAAAGTACAGTGATGTTGAACGAGCATAACGTATAGCTGAGATACTGGAACGTCTAGTATTATCACCATTGAATGTGTTCAATGTTCTATTAGCTGGTAATGTATTCATTGATTTGTTTGTTGGCTTTGTTTGTTTATGCTTTTTTTCCACTTGATTGAGTTAGATTATTTCTTCAAATGATCTAAATCAATGTTTTTTTTAAAAAAAAACATTTTCAGGCAGAGTTTTGTGTTTTTACACATTTGAAATCATCAGTCAGTCAATTATACATTGTCAGACCAACATTAGAAACCTGGAAGCACTGGACAGACGTTCCGTCCTGTTGTGGGACTCATCAGTGGCAGTGCACATCCACGACTCCTGCACCTCGCAGGATTCGAACCCGGGACCTTCAGTATTGTGCGCGAACGCCTAACCATCGGACCACCGGGCCAGCATCCAACGGTGTTATTGTCTAATGGTGGTCTAACAATGATTGATCGATCATTTCAAATGTGTAAAATAAATATTTGTTGAAAATTTAACATTTCTCAGTTAAACAATAAAGAAATCATAGTTTTGGCTGTCAGTTGATGAGAAGAAAAGTGAGGAAAAGTATATATGATAAAGGCAAGTCAATCAGAGTCGAGAAGGAAACTTTTAAACTTTGATGCTAAATATTATGTTGCAGTGTGTCGATTTACTGCGTATTCTTAAGCTTCGTAATTTGCTCGTCTAGACAATCGTTACTAAATAGCGTCTGACAGTTTATAAATCAGAAGGTGAACTCGTAGTGTTGAATACGTTTATATTTGGGACACACCACAAAGTGAAGTGGAGAACGAGTGAATAAATACCGAATGAAGCGACGTGAATTGGAGAAGGCTTTTGAGCCAACTCCAAGAGATAGAGCATGACTAAGAATATATAGTCAGACAAAAATAAGACAGACATATGACAAGCAAAATAGACATGCACACACATGAATAAAAGTGACGAATGACTGGCAAGGTCAAAAGCAAGCGAGACAAGTCATGTGAGACCTTCGGGACTAACATTAAAGCGAAAAGGATGACTAAGCGTATGCGCGTAAGCAATGTTCAGTCATACCAGCTCATACAAACCACACAATAATAAAAGCCAATGGTACATATAAGTTATTGTGGTTAAATAAATTAATCGAATGGGCTTAACCAAATTAAATGTAAGCGAACTGGAATATATGTGGAGGCACTACAATGTATCATGAGGAGTAAAATCATGGTTGCATACCGTTCACCAAAAAAAAGCTTAAAATAATAATGAAGACAAATTATTTTTTCGCCACCATGGTATTAAATTATGATCATGTTAAACGTATCGAATTTTCAATTCTATCTCATCAAATTGCAAACAACATGAACTGAATAAAAATCAGTTATAATCACAAAATCCCTTGTACACTAACCATAAATCGATAAACTCTGATCAGAAACAATGTGTTGGCTGTTGGGAATTTTATTTGAATTCAAGAGAAAATGGATGAATTTGTAAGTTATTAAATTTCCCTGTCACAGACAGAACAGTCGCATAACAGACTTCAGAAGATTCATGGATTATGCAACATGTTTGTAATATGATCAGTTTATTTCCTATCAGTTATTTATGAATGAGAACTATTTTGTGATTGGTTAACGCTGCATCTGAATTAGTCAAGGTCATTTCATGAATCAGTAATCAATTACTCCGGTGTTATAAAAGATTATACCTCAGTCTGAATTTATCATTTCCAAGTGAATCAAACTTACATTGGCTAAGTATCATAAGACTTGGAATTGATTACATGATAATAAGTACTGCTCAGTAGGATAATGTATGTGAATAAATAACTGACAAGTGTTTTCTACTCATTGACTACTTTGTGTAAAGCAATTCTAAGTAGATTCTTGTTCAATTGATCAAGTGTTAAAAAAATATTGATCATTGAACAAGGGATTGATTCACTAATTGAAAATTTGCTATCAACGTTAAATAATGTAATGAATATAGGATTAGTCATATTACGGAAAGTAAGAAAACAAATTATATTAATTAAGGATAGCGTTTATCATAAAGAATAATAATAATAATAACTGACAGTTATAGAAAAGAATTAGAGATCAACTGAGTTTCCGTCCTATCACAGAACTCCTTGTGTGTGGACACAAATGATCTCACATACACTTAATTAGATGACATTCTGATAGTATGTCCATTAGTGACTGACCGTGGATTTGAGTTTACTAGTAGACATGTATATAAGCACACATAAATTGTGAACTCTTTGAAATATTGTAAAAAAAAATTATTTTGGAATGAAATTATCTAACCAAGCAATATCGAAGGTCCCTAGTTCAAATCCTGCGAGGAGCATGAGTCGTTAATGCGCACTGCCACTGATGTGTCCCATACCAGGACGAAACGGCCGTCTTTCAGTGCTTCCAGGTTTCTAATGGTGGTCTAACAATAAATGATTGATGATTTCAAATGTGTAAAAACACAAACCTCCAGAACTCTGCCCCAAAATCTCTAGAATATATGTTTTTTTGAAAAAAGAACATTTTCTACGGTTTCAGTATAAATTTGAATCATATTTCTCTAAACTCTACCTTAATCTAAATTAATTCTGACAGTTTTGAAGCAGAATATCTAAATTATCTCATAAGCCTGAGGCAATCTGATAAAGATTTGTTTTTGACCGGTTGAACTTAACGTCCTCGCTAATACCAATATACTACTACTATTACAACTACTTCTAGTAGTGCGCACTACTTATAAGTAGTATATGACGGGAGTAAAAACGTAATGTCTGGCAGCAGAAGATGTGGGAAGAAAAAGAGAGGAAGATTGGGAAACACAATGGAATTTGTATGAAACGCAATGGATTGATGATGGATTGATGTTTTGCAAATTAACGATTTACTATATGGTTTTCCTATTTTACTGAGTAACTGTAATTTTCGTTAAATACAATTCGGTTGCCCTCACCTGTGTTCTCCTTCACTACAGTAGCATTAATAATACTAACAATGGTTCGTGTAATAAAACTCAAAAAAATCATATGATAACGACAAGATAAAAACCAACGCCATCGCCATCATGAATATATGGATTGAAATTGTCTATAATGATGAATATCATGCAGTAATATTGATTAATTATTATGATCGGAACTAGGTATGCTTGAAAATATTATGGGTTCACCTTAGTCGATAAATCAGAACGAGACAATGATCCTGCGTTCAGGTAGGCTACCTTGATCTGATGACTAAACAAAGGTCTCGATATAGCGAAGAAAGAATATTCTACAAACACCCAGCAAGCACACAAATCGCGTTTATTTATACGTCCTTGGGGGAGTCAGAAAAAAGCACACTAAAATAAAACAGTAAACGATCACAGCTAAAGATTTTCCGGGTAGGAAATGTGATCTCATAGTCAACTGATCAATCCATGCTCGGAAACATAAAATCCAAAAGTAAGGCATTTATCAAGCGAGTTCTGGGAATCTAACACCCCCAACATTAATACAGAGCACTTATCAATCAAGCCAGTACTACAGTCTATAGACAAACCAATCAGATTTAAGACCGAAGTGAGTCTTGAATTCCAGCGCGAAATCAGTTCATCTAAGCGGCTAAATAACATTATAGCTTATGTTAATTCATGGTTAAAATTTCAGTATTGATTCCTAATCCTAACTACTTACTCTGAACACTAATTTTAACTTTTCATTAAATATATCAACAACAGAATGATACATCAATAGTCCAGAGTAGAGAATTAATTAAGGCGGATTCATTTTAACTTCATTGTGATTATTCCATTGTAGTTTCAAATTGAAGTGTATTCCCCTGTTGTGTTGGTTTATTAAAAACATTCCAATTAGTGGGCCTTACCTTAGGTAAACAATGTGCTTATTGGGTATTTTTTCATACTAATAATAATAACGATAGTAATAGTAATAATCATGATAATTAATAGCAGTAGTATTAGTAGTAGTATGGGAAATTTAGTGAGAATTTTTCAACTTGTGGCTTACACATCACGAATGCCATTGAAAATCAGAAAGTTATGGATACGCTTTTTTCTCTGTTTGGTCGAAAAATGCGTACCGGCAACTTCCCATCAGATCTAACTCAGTACATGCAGACCTTGAGAAGAGTTTATTATCTTTAGACTTGATGCACTTTTGTGATGTTACATCAGTGGCTAGATTTCATTGAATGATCATTATTTCGTTGAAGGTATTTACTTCTCAATAAAATGTTACCTTATAAATTATGTATACATAGATAGTTAGTAATCCGTCTTGTAGAACCTGATATATATATATATATATATATATATATCTCGCAGGATTCGAACCCGGGACCTTCGGTATTGTGCCGAACGCCTAACCATCGGACCACTGAGCCGGCATCCAACGATGTTAATGTCTAACTCTGATTGATCCAGGGATTTTGCGCGACCTCACCCATTTCAAATGTGTAAAAATTCAAGAGTTGATTAAAACCAGTCTTTGGAGGTATCATTTTTGCAGTTAGAGAAAGAGACTCCCATTCTAAACATGTTTGGATTGTTTTTGAAGATGATCAGCAGATTCTGCATTCCCTCAGTGTTATCATCACCATGTTATCGGAGTATTCTAAGTCATTAAACGAATCATCGATAGGAAACGTATTTACAATTAGACAGATAAGGGAGGTGTTGTCTGTAGCGGAATATTTACAAGGAAGTTATATTGGAAACAGAGGAAGTAAAAAACCCTGACATACTCTTGAGATGTTATCGATCCAATGATAGTTATCCATAAACTCTAACTCAAACAACTCTGTTCGATTAGGTAAATCTGTACAAAGTTAGTGTACTTCTTTGATATGCCTTTCAATCAAATGTACACCTGTTGAACAAATAAGTCTGTCCTTACTCTTCTAATCCCAACTATTGAATTGCAAAGGATTCACTGCAAAGTGTTCCTCATACATTTAACGAGTAATCCACTGAGCTATTGAGTCTTAGTGCAGTTAGAGCGTACTATACTAGACAATAAGCATGTTCTAAACCTCACTGCTACTTCCTTCACCTAATTCTACTTTCAAATAATTAGTACTGAATGACATCATCGAAACAATCTAGTCACGGCGTACATATGACCTTGACATCATCAACATAAAGATTATTAATCACAGAATCAATAAATTATAATTTTACTCTTAAGAAAACAATGGAATTTTGAAATCAAAAAAACTAGGATGAACTGAACCAATTATTAAGTGATCTATTTAATTCTATTGGTCAGGTTTTTTTTAAAAAACTGTCAAATAGCTGTTTTTTTCTATCTGTCTGTTTATCTACATCAATTTTAATGAACATCCATCATTCGCGATCATGGAAAAGAGGTGCGCACACACACACGATGGCCCCCATGACTAATTCCACTCACACAAATACACATACAGAAAGTTTTTTAATATCAAAAAAGAAAACAGATCAATATGCATTCACACACACACATGCAACACATACATACACAGTGTAGCTGATAACTAAAAAGGCATAAAGTGTCAACATGATAGAGTTTACATTTTGAATGAAGTTAAAGTAAGAATAAATATAAGAATACGAAATGATGACAGAAATTATTTTATTTCAAATCGTTCGCGTTTGTTTGTTTGTTTATTCAAAATAATAAAAATAAAAAAATTATTTAAGTGAAATTTCTTTTATCTAGTTTTTTCCCAGTGATGAGAAAAAAACCCAGAGAAAATGACAAAAAAAACGATTCAAAGTTAAGAGAAAATTGTGAGAAAAAACTATTTACACATTTTCGAAACCATGAATCGATCAATGTTAGAACACCATTAGAAACCTGGAAGCACTGGACGACCGTTTCGTCCTGGTATAGGACTCCTCAGCAGTGCGCATCCACGACATAACAATCTTCACAACCCCGTAATGCAAATTACCTGTGCTCACTAGTGACTAGCTTCGTGAGGAATCTTCTCTGAGTTCTAGTAGGAAGACGTGACCAGTGAAGTTCAACCTGTTCAGATGTAGACAGTAACTACCGAAAACTGTGTATGAGGTTGCGCAACTCCGTGAATTGACTGAAGTTAGATACCGGCTCAGTGGTCCGATGGTTAGGCGTTCGCTCACAATACCGAAGGTCCTAGGTTCGAATCCTGCGAGGAGCACTGCTGATGAGTCCCATACCAGGACGAAACGGCCGTCCTAAAGTGCTTCCAGGTTTCTAATGGTGGTCTAACATTGGTCGATTCATGGTTTCAAAAATGTTTGACCCTGACGTAGCATTGAATGTTCTATTACTTACTCTTATTAATCTGTCCTGCAGAGTATCGCAGACCACATCTCCGTTGGATTGTAACTTCATAAATAAAGGCTTCTTTTGGGCGGTTGAAACCACCGACTTCTTTTTTACGGCAAACATACACTTCTTTAAGAACGCACTAAGGTAGCCAATCTCGGTTACTGAGCCGTTGATGAATTCCAGCTCCACTGAACAGATCATTTTTGCTCTGCTAATGAGACATCTAATGACCTGGCTCTTCTATCGCACACGCAACAACAAATGGAAGCGAAGACGACCAGTGTAGCAACAGTCTCTGCAGCAGTAGGTCTCAACATACATAAAGGAAAAAGCGAAATTCTCCGATGCAACACAACATGCACCAACCAAATCACTCTTGATGGAAATGCCTTGGAGGACGTTAACACCTTTACATATCTGGGCAGCATTATCGATGAGAAAGGTGCATCGGATGCAGATGTGAGGGTGCGGATTGGCAAAGCAAGGGCTGCGTTTCTACAGTTGGTTGGAGAAAACTGGTGAGCGGCCTATGCTCCGTTGGGGGTAACAGGCGTAAGTAAGTAAGTAATGAGACATCTAACCATATTTATTTTGTAGTGGATAGGTGTAAAACTACAAAAGTGAGTGTATTAGCAAGCATTTAATCTTGATATATAATTAATCCAATTAATCAATAAATAATTGGCCAATTATGAAAACTTGTTTTACTAAGATTATCAATGTTAAAGAAAGTTATGTTAGTTTTGACAGAAATTAACAATTAATTAAATTTAAAACAAGAGAATGTTTTATTTCATAACATCAAAACAAACAAAAAGTAGGTAGTGAATTATTTCAAGTAATCAATTTATAAAAATAATGTTTAAATCCTTTCATGACATATATATATTTCACGATGAGTGAGTATCTGTCAAAGTAGAAGTGTGGTGCGCGCTACTTATAAGTAGTATATGACGCGACTGAAAACGTAATGTCTGGCAGCGGAAGATGGGGGAAGATCAAGAAAGGAAGAGCGGGAACCCAAAAATGGGATTTGTATGAAACGTATGAACAGTGGTGAAATGTCAAACAATGGATTGACGTTTTGCAACAGGAACAGTCCAGTTCGATATGATGGATTGATGATATTTTGCAAATTAACGATTTATGATATGGTTTTTACTATTTTTACCAATTATCTCTGTAATTTGCGAAATAAATACAATTCGGTTGCTTTCACCTGTGTTCTCTTTCACTATAGAAGTAGTTGTTTAGCAGCGATTGTATCATGAGTACATACTCACTTGGTCCTCAAGAATAAAGAGTGGATAAAGTTTTCTTTTCTGCTTGATAGTACTGACCATTCCAAGTCAGATTTTAAAGAACAACAGTTTGGTCTTCCTTTTACTGGAACATCACGAAAGTCAGATTTCATATTCACATTTTACTCCTAATGTAAATTTAACTGAATAACGACAATTATTGAACTAGCAATCGAATATCGTACTGAATAGTTATCATACAGAATGAATCCATCTTCTTGATTGCTTTCTATCACAAGCAATGTTTTATTCGGCTGGAATTAACTGCTAGTATTTTGAGTCCAAGATTTACTGAACACTGAATGTTCATCTTTGTTTTCTGACCCCCCAAGAGATAAGCGAAGAACCAATGGGATTTGATAAATGAAGCATTTTCTCGGTCTCTTGACGTTCTAGTCGAGGTATCCGGTAGTTTTCTTTTGGTAATTTAGACCATTTTCCCAAGCACTTAACAAGCCAAAGCCTTGATTTCTACAATCCAATCATCATCCGCCTTACCCTCCTTACACAGTTCAGTATCGATGCTTGGTTCGTTAGTTCCAGATGCATATCCGATTTCAATTTCACCAGTATCATTATTCGCAAGAGTTCCAGGGGAGATATCACAATCAGACGTTTGAGTAACAGCGTTATATTCTCCTTCATAAACTGGAAGTGCCGAAGGATTTAACGGGCATGACGAATTCTCCTTCAAAGATGAACTAAACGAATTGGAACTCGATGGCGATGCAGCAAAATCATTATTCTTGTCGCCTGTTTGTACGGAAGATGATTCATTGTCTTTGATGCTTTTGTAAAGTGATGAATATTAACACTCTTCCACGACTCTGTAGGGATACAACGTGGTCGACAATGGTGAGGACTGGAAGTCCACTGTGCCACTATTTCCATGAGGCGTGAATTTGACTATACCTGTTTTTGTTCGGAAACAGGAATGTGCTTCAAGCAAACTAATATCTACTTTTTCACTTCCCAATCTTTTGTCGTTGCATCAAACATAAATGCTGCCAACATATCCAGACCATTATACTGTTAAAAGAGTTTAAGACAAGCGTCATTTTCTGTTTTAATAAGACGGTTGAGAAGTTGCAATCGAGTGTACCTTGTAAGGCATTCTTGAAGCATGACTTGTAACAGCAAAGTTATATCATCTGCATTTCTGAAAGAATCTAGTTGAAGGAGCTGAAGAATGCGTCTTTCGACCATTGTAGTGCCTTTCATGTGAATTTTCTCTTGCAAATATTTTCTGGTAGCCCCCATTATACTAGAGCAGGAAGGCATTTCGTAATAACTCTTTTGTTCAGAAACCCAAACTGGTAATCCATGGTTACTTCTTGACCAGGTGGAATATGTTCTTTAGCAAAAAATTCCAATGCGTATTTCACCATCTACACTCCACTTTTGTGTAACACAGTTGGATTCTCGCATGAGTGATTGATAAATCTAGCACAGTTGCCTTTACCACCAACATCAATGAATCTATTAGACTCCACAGCCATTTTATTTTTATATTGAAATCCTAAGTCATCATTAGGCCACCATTACAAAACCTGAAAGCACTGGACGGCCGTTTTATTTTTCCTAGTATACGACACTTTAGCAGTGCACATCCACCACCACTGCCCACGGAAATCGGGCCAAGGAGCTTTGATCTCTCGTAAGGGAATTCTCACAGTTCTAGTGAGGAGTCGTGACCAATGGAGTTCACAATCCTGTTGGGTATAGGCATTAACCACCCGAAGACAATGGATTAGGTTGCGCAAAACCTTAAATTGTTCGAACTTAGACATCAAGGCTGTTGGATGCCGGCTCAGTGGTCTAGAGGTTAAGTGATCGCGTGATAGAGTGAAGGTCCTAGGTTCGATTCCTGTGAGTAGCGAGAGTTGTAGATGAGCATTGCTGATGAGTCCCATGCTAGGGCTTGACAGCCATCCAGTGTTTCCAGGTTTCAAATGGTCATCTAACAATGATCGATTCACTATATAAAACAACAATCTCCAATTTCTTATTTTTAGATTGACAAATCGAATTTCAGTAGTCTGTTAACTGTATCCAACAAGTATTATTCACTATTTATTCACGATTTCGACCTAGTGAAAGTTTGTTGACCATGGCTTGTCATTAAATCTTGAAGAATTGTTCCTCTTCTTCGTTGCCAGTAAGCACATAATAATTATTATTATTATGATTATTATTATTTCCATGATTATAACTTGCTGTCTGTGGAAATTATTCGATTTAAAAATAGTTTATATCACACAGTCTTCAGACTGAGTATTCTTATAAATCTTGAACACTCTATCTATATATGTGGCGAAATTTGTAATATGTATACTGTTAAAAACATTCATTGTATCCAACGGCATATTCACAATAATATGCATGAACATTCCATGTACCTAAAAGAATGGGTGCTCTGGTTGTTTGTAAGAAGGAGCATCGGCCTTGCGACTTCCCGAAAAAACTCGGCTTCCATCATTAGGCGTCATAAATCATTTAAATAAAGACGTTCTAACTCCCAGGGCAGAGTTTAAACGATTTGAATTATTTTTTCTGGTTATCGAGTTGGTTTCCAAGGGATAGGATCGCCAACCTCATGCTCAACCCTCTTCCTTTATCTGGGGTTGGGACCGGCAGTCATCATAGAACGGCTTCAGGCGGGGATTCACAAACTTATGCCCTAAATAATATAATCCTTAATATTTGAGTAATATTTCGAGTATATTTCTGGTTAGTTTGGGGGACGTTAAAACCTTTAAATATCTGGGCAGCATCATCGATAATCAGGGTGGATCCGATGCAGATGTGAGGGGGCGGATCGGCTAAGCAAGGGCTACATTTCTACAAGTCAACAACATCGGGAACTCGAAGCAACTATCAACCAACACCAAAATCACAATTTCCAATACAAATGTCAAAACACTTCTACTGTATGGGATGGAAACTTGGAGAACTACCAAAACCATCATCCAGAAGATACAAGTATTTCATTACCAATTGTCCACAAAAAATACTTCAGATTCGTTGGCTAGACACTATCAGCAACAATCTACTGTGGGAAAGAACAAACCAGATTCCATTGGAGGTGGAAGTGGATAGGACACACATTGAAGAAAGCACTCAACTCGTCACAAGACAAACCTTCACTTTGAGCCCTCAAGGTCAAAGGAAAAGAGGAAGTCTAAGGAACACATTATGTCAAAAAAATAGAGGCAGATATGAGAAGAATGGACAAAAATTGGACAGACCTGGAAAGGGAAGCCCAAGACAGAGAAGGCTGAAGAAAACTGGTGGGCGGCCTATGCTCCATTAGGGGTGACAGGCATAAGTAATTAAGTAATTTTGAGTATATCATCAGCCTAATTCTCTCTAAACCTCCCGAAATAAACTAAAATTTACTGACTACTATCAATAAAATTATTTCATTTCAGAAAACAGAGAATAATAAATTATAATATTTAAAACAAATCCATATTTATTTCAATTGTCTCAAATTGTTTAACTTGAATGGATATTGTCATGAAAAAGATTTAAACTGAATTTGACAATAATTTAGTCAAACTCACTTAAGAAATATTTTCTGTAGAATAATTTTTCTTAAGCAAAAACGAACAAATTAAAATAATCTTCTTCTTCAATGGATAAATGGAAATTTATCCATTGAGTTAAAAAAAATTTATATGGTCTATTTCTCTGCCTATTTATCATATTGCATGCAAAAAAAAATATATTTGAACTAACTGCATACTTATTGATCATTTCAGTCTGATATCTGGACATTGGGTAAATAGATTATCACTGGATAAATAGGTAGCCCTAAGAGTCATATTCATTTAGTTGTTCGTGTGTGTGTGTGTGAAAGAGAGAGGATCGAAAGCTAACTTACCGACATTGAGTCTTAAAAATCATTATTATTTAGTATATGAGTAGTATGTTACTTATAAGGGAATTCAGTAGTGTTAGTGTTTTACATGAATTTATGAAAAGCTTGTTTTTGATGTTAAATACACAATCTGAAGATTAAATTTTATCAGTTACAGTGTGAAAATTTAAATCTTATTTAGGTTTTCAGAAAGAACGATACTTTTCTGTAAAGTACAGTAAAGGGTTTTGAAATATTTTACAGATTTATTGCTCCATATTGACAAAAAACATGATGTTGCACTATCGATCAGAAAATGATGTATGAACCAAACTTAAAATCTCATGAAGACTTAAGCACAGTTTGATATTAAACATATATTTCAAAACTAGTCACTTGTGCAAATTACAATGAGGCTTATAAGTAGTATGCAGCGTCGTATCACCCCCCTGAAGTTACGACTGAAGAGAGAAGTGTCGGATATGAATGTATGTAGAGATCAAAGTATTTTGAAGGCTCGAAGTAGCGTGAAAGCAGACATCCAACAATATGCTTGTTTTGCAAATATATTTTTTGAAGATGCTTACTTAATTATGCCTGTTATACCTAATGGAGCATAGGCCGCCCACCAGTATTCTTCAACCTTCTCTGTCTTGGGCTTCCCTTTCCAGTTCTGCCCAATTTTTGTCCATTCTTCTCATATATGTCTCTATTTTTCGACAAAATGTGTTCCTCAGCCTTCCTCTTTTCATTTGTCATTGAAGGTTCAAACTGAGGGCTTGTCTCGTGACGAGTTGGGTGCTTTCTTTAATGTATTTCTCAATCCGCCTCCAGTGCTCCTTCCTGATTTCGTCCTTTACTAGAATCTGATTTGTTCTTTCCTACAGTAGATTGTTGTCTGGCCAACGAATCCGAAGTATTATGTGTAGACAACTGTCAATAAATACTTGTATCTTCTGGATAGTAGTAGTTCTCCAAGTTTCTGTCCCATGAAGTAGAAGTGTTTTGCCATTTGTATTGGAAATTGTGAGTTAGGTGTTAGTCGATATTTGCTTTGAGTTCCATATGCTTTTCAATGGCGGAAATGCTGTCCTTGCTCTGCCAATCCGCGCATTTGCATCAGCATCAGATCCACCTTGCTCGTCAATGATGGTGCCCTGGTATCTAAAGACTTTTAGATCCTCCAAGGCATCTTCATCCGGAGTGATTTGGTTGGCACATATAGTGTTGTATCGGAGAATCTTGCTTTTCCATTTATGTATGTTGAGACCTAATGCTGCTGAGGTTGCTGCTACACTGGTTACTTTCTCTCGCACTTGTTGTTGCATGTTGGGTAAAAGTGCCTGATCGTCTAGCTGCATCCTGACCGTCCAATGTATACCATGCTTCCCTCCAGATATTGATGTCTTCATAATCCAATCGATCACCAGGATAAAAAGAACGGATGAGACTAAGCAACCTTGCCCAATACTAGTCTTCATATCAAAAGGGTCTATCAGCTGTTCTCTGTGCACGATTTTGCAGTTTAATTCATCATAAGATTTCCTTATGATATTAACTATTTTCTCAGTCACACCGTAGTGTCAAAGAAGCCTCCACAGTGTTTTCCTATCCACGCTATCGAATGCTTTCTCGTAATCGATGAAGTTGATGTAGAGTGGTGAGTTTCATTCAGCTGATTGCTCCACAATGATCCGTAATGTTGCAATTCGGTTCGTACAAGACCGATCCTTACGAAATCCAGCCTGACATTTTTATGATCATAAAGGTGCACATCTTATCATTTTTTGTGACAAGATAACTTGTATCTTCAGACCCTCCTCTGCTTCATAAAATCATGAACATAAGTCAGATATGATTCAAAACACATTACATTTCATGTCAGTAAACTTATTTCTATTTCCGATTATCCATCACAGAAAAAAAATAACTGTTTTCTTCAACGTCTCATTATCTCTTTAAACTATCTTCAATATTTTATGATTCATGGTTTCAAAAATATGTAACTTAACAATCTTCACAACCCCGTAATGCAAATTACCTGTGCTCACTAGTGACTAGCTTCGTGAGGAATATTCTCCGAGTTCTAGTGGGAAGACGTGACCAGTGAAGTTCAACCTGTTCGGGTGTAGACAGTGTCTGCCGAAGACTG